CAGGTCCATGGGAATTGGCCACATCCATCTCAACCTCGAACATTGTTGACAGTGGAACGAATATATTCGTTCTTCATGTTTTAGGTACATTAATTATTGTCAAACGCTTTTGACCTTCAGTAGCCAGCAATAGAACTCCTTGTTGAGAGATGTCGCTCAGCGCACGACCCCTTCGTTCCGTTACTTGGTATATAAAAAAAAATACCTGGCTATAAGGATCTCCTTCCCAATATTCAATCCTCTCCACTCTGGGTCCACGACCAGTCCGTAAGCGGTGAGGTATTGGTCCACCCCAAAATGCTGGAAGATATCCACGCTGCGAGCCATTGTGTCTACTGCACCGAAGACTTGTGCCCAGACTTTGTCATCACTCTAGAAATACGAAATCTGATGTTAGTATATTTTTGGATTTAAATCGCGTATGCAGTCTACAACGGGTTTGTAGCATCTGAACCCGGGGGTCGGTTTAAAGTCGCAACATTTTTCAAATGACTGATCTGAAAAATAAAAATAATAAAACAAACTTGATTCGCATCCAGTCCCGGGCTCAGTTGCACCTCGTGAGATGACATTAAATATGTATCCTCTGAATCCGAATGCATTTTCGATAGATGTTGGTACATTTTGTTGCTTTGGTTGATTTCGCGTAACAGGGAGACTGTTGAATCAATCACTTTGTGAAAAATATACAGTAAAATTGAGCGTATACACCTAAAAATATTCTGCTCCGTGCCGAATGGTTACCATGCCGGACTGCCACGCAGAGGTCCCATGCTCGATTCTGGGGCCGGGAGAAATATTTGTATGGCCTACATTATTTCTCTCGTGAGTTTGGATGTGATTTGTGGTTGTCTATGTGTGTTATTCACGATAGAAAAAAAAACACAAACTTGCCTTGAAATTTTACAAGAAAACCGCTGTATTCCATAGGTACTTTACCAATGATGTTTTTTATGTCAACTAACTAAATAAAACACGTATAGTATACGATAATACATTTTTCAAATGAGTGATCTGAAAAGGGCTCGAAATATTTTGTTTGTTTGGAAAAATAAATAAACGCGAATTAAACGATTATCACTAATATCAGGTTTCTTACCACGGTATGACCACCCACTGACTGTATCCAAGGTTTGTGTGAAAAAAGTGAGTGACAATGGTAACGCCACAACAAATCGCGATGAAGGTAGTCGTCGACAGCGCAAGAGGGTAGATAGATATGTCTGCTCTTAAAGCTCTCTGCCGCCGTCCAGTCAACCCGTGACCATGGAGCGTGCAACCGTTCCGAAATATCGGGAAAATAAAAAGAAGTCACACCGTGGTAAGAAACCTGATATTAGTGATAATCATTTAGGGAATAACCACGAAAGTCTTAAAATCTATATAAACGCGAATTAGATCTGAAAAAATAGTTTTATTGATAATGTGTAATAATCGCGAAAACCTAAGAACTTGATGAACTGTGCGTCATCAATACGATACGAAGAAGGAGAATTTACCGATTGTGAGTCTGATCATTTATCATTCTGGATCAAAATTACCTGAAAGATCTCATCCTTGTCACTGCGGCTGGCTACAGTCAGGGCATTAACGCCGATGAGTTCCGCAGGGTTATCTTTATCTTCGACACAGACCAGGGATAACTTGTCTTGTATTGTCGTACGCCATAGTTTGCTCAGTTCCGACAGTGCTGTTGGGTGGTTTTGGATGCCTGTACCACAGATTACTAAATAATTACTCTCATACTAAATTGAAAATACTATAATAGCCTATTAGATCTGATTAATGACACCAGGCGGTCAATACGAGGAAAAAGGTGAAAATAATGTTGCCCGCTTTGTGCAGTCGTGCGGAACCAAATGCTGCGGTTGTACAACGATTGTAATGTAAATGAAAGACTTGTCTGAACGATTGTACCCCCGGCGATACACTCAGTGGTAGGCACTTATCGCGTAACCTCGAGTGTGTGACGAGCGCTGCCGTACAGGGAAATGTAAAAAAATTCTACTTCAGTGGACATAGACAAGAGAATGATTTTCATTTTGTCAACTAGTCGAAAAACTTCCATGACAGCCACAGACAGTAGAAACTAGAAACAGAGAAAAATTCTAAATTCAGAATAGACTAATCTGTAATTTTATAATTTTAATGTTTTTTTTAATAAAAGCCGACATCAAATGTTTAATTACCCGCTTTCTCTGTGTTCGATACGTCTATTCGCCATGTTTTATTGAAATCGGTTAACAGAAAGTGGGTGAAATTTAATAAACCGGTTCATCCCCTAATTTGCATCCTTATAGGTGGATTTTTTTCTTACCACCAACCAATTTTTCCAATAAAAAAGAAACACCGAAATCGGTTCACAAACGTTGGAGTATTCACGTAATATTCGAATTGAGAATAAGTATCTTTTTTGAAGTCGGTTAAAAAATAAGTGCGCATTGACCTCCATTTCACCTGATGGAAAGTGACGATGAGATTGAAGATGGGACATGCACACTGCACACCTTAATAATGCCTATTCACTCTCGCCTTTAATTGTACATACAAATACTTTTTTTTTAAGGAAATATAGAGTTTTACGTTTTTAAAATAGGCCTAAAGTGCAGTTTAAGGTCAGTTAATTGGAGTAGAGCTACTTATGAAGGGTACTAACTTAGATATTTGTGCCGCCAAGCAGTAATCTGAGCTGTGCAAGCAGTAATGAGAGCAGGTGAAATTTGATAAAAAACTAAACTAACCGATACACTTGCAAGGCGGTTCGTCTCTAGTAAAATACTTTTCCAGCAACTGAAGAGCGCGATCTTCCAGGTCCACTGTTAGGTCCTGAACACGGAGGGGGATGAGAACACCCCCCTTGCGTACGGTGAATCGATGCCAGATTGTGGGGATAGGCATTGTTGATGGGCGCGTATATACCATACCCTGTGTAAGACGCAAATGTTAATTGCAGGTTTCGTTTTTTAAAAAAATGAATTATAGAGATGTGACGTGATTGTAATGCTGGACATGGGGTGTTTTTAAATAATTATGATAAGCATTTATTTTTAACATTATTTCTAGTTAGTAACAAACTTATAACCTATGTAGTGAGTACGTAACATTACCTATATTTATTTGGCAACTCTATAAGTTCACAAGTCCCGTGTGTGGTGTGTAGCCGGGGCGTCTGTCTAGTGCGTAGCTAACGCGTCTGAGTAGGAGTCTAGTTGAGGGCACTGGGAATGTGAGTTGCCCTTTAAATTTGAAACTATGTCCGGACATTCTCGCAGGGCACTGCGAGCGGTATCTCCTACACTAGCCCGGAGAGAGCTAGTAGAGGATAAGATCGATATATTATTGAAGAAGAAGAAGAGCTAGAAGATAGATATATTACTATCCTTCAGTTCCTCCAGCCGCTTATTGAGAACTGGTGAAATGTCGTTTTCGGCGTTGGGAAGTGAGCGTGCCTTACAGCTCCGCCACCGATGAGGAGATTTGGTAGTGGGCTTTATAGTCGACGGCTCAGCGGTGGCAACCGCTAGTAGTGCAATACGCAATGGGAAGTGAGCGTGTCTACAGCTCCGGTACCTATCTGGACAATAGGGAGGGTACTGTACCTGGGGCGGCTCCCCCGAGGCACTAGCCTCTTGAGAACCGTATGAAGTCAAGTGACAGCGGTCTGAGACAACCCTGTACACTGGCTTATCTGGGGTCAGAACCTGGACTTAAAAGGTTGTAGTACCTTTCCCGCATAACCCAGAGTTTGATAGGTAGGGACTATAATCATAATTTATGTAGAAAAGGTATGAGAGCCGATCCCTAAGTAAGTAAAGTACTTGTATTATGGTCATCGGAAACAACGACGGTACCACAAACACCCAGACCCGAGACAATATAGAAAAGTTAGCTTCTACATTCACCCGGCCGGGGATCGAACCAGGGACCTCAAAGATGGCGACACCATGAAAATTGGTGAGCAAGCCACTCTACCGCGGGAGTCGTCCAATTGTGTTGTTGGGCTTGTTGTAATATATCATATCGGACCAAGGGCCGGCAGCTACCATGCCGAACGCATTAGCATAGCCATACAAAGGGGGAACGCTGCCAGTATCTTGGGCGCCATGCCGCGGGGACCCAATTTTATTTATATAATTTAATCCTAGTTTTTTTTTCAACAATAATTAAATACGAAATAAGTATGTCATTTTTCAATTTTCGGAAATGGAAACAGCTTAAAGTTATTTACTTATCAATTACACATATCTATACTACTTATAACAGCTGGATACATAAAAAAAGTAAGAAAGCTTATAAATAGAAAATTTCGTGGAGGGCCCGTACCCTGGGCATCGAGCCCAGAAGACTAACAATATTTTCCTTAATCTTTGGCGTAAATAGCCTACGCTTACGCTAACGCTTGCAAGGACATGAAGGGGGCTGCAGTGTCCACACAGGTTGCGTTCCATACTAGCTGTCTCCCTAGTTTCCATGGACCGACAGTCACATCGTCAGGCCTCTTACCGTCACTGCGACGGATGCCAGTGGGCTCGAGAACTGCCGGTATCTCAGAGCTGGTGAAAGCCCGTAAGATAATGCTATTGAGCGCTGATGTCGGGATATGCGGCCAGCGCTTCGAGTACCTATCCTAGTTTTAGTATCTAGTATTCAAGCTTTACCTTACCTGCATATTTTATCTTATTATCTAATAAATAATTAATGTGGACCATTAAAAATCTCAATTAAAAACGTTTCGGTTTCATTTGTTTTAGTCGAATTGTGTTAAATAGAAAGTATGAAAGAGCTGATATTTTTTAAGAAAAAGAATCATTTATTCCCATAAAGGATAAAAAAAAATCCATGAGTGGATTAAATAACACTTGAAAACATCATTTTTTAAACTACTGCTCGTTCCCTGTGTTGACTTCCCTGAGAAGAACGAGCAAGAAACTCTAGGGATCGCTCTTTTCACACTTTATCTAACACGTAGTATTCAATTTTGTTATATGAATTTTGAATTAAAATACATATTAAGTTTTAAACGTAGGAAATTATAATCTTAATATATATTCCGGAATCTTATTGTAGAAACGTATACAGTTCCCCATAAAAGAATCGTTTACTTAGTCAAAAGAAATCGTGGTACCATGAGTTTGGACTTAGTTCTAAGGTTGACATTATTTTTATAATAAAATAATAATAACGCACACACTCAACATAGCCCCGCACTAGGGAAACCCTGTGTCGCGGTTGCCATGGACACACATATAGACAACCACAAATTACACCCAAACTCACGAGAGAAATAATTGTAGGCCATACAAATATTTCTCCCGGCCCGGGAATCGAACCTGGGACCTCTGCGTGGCAGTCCGGGATGGTAACCGTTCGGCCACGGAGGCAGTTAAATATGGATAATCAGTTAAATATGAATATTATGGATAATCTTCTTTCATAATGAAATTATGTATATTTTTACGGGCATACAAAATATTTGAGTAAATGTACTGCGATGCCACGGTCATGATACCACTCTCCTTAAACTTTTTTTTGAGACAAACCCGTGAATCTAAATGATTAAGAGATTAGTGGTAATTTTTATTATTTGAATATTGTGTAATGTTATCATGAAGTGAATTTTATTTAATATTCCAGGATAACATATTCGAATATTTAAATAATAAAAATTACCACCAAAATTTAGTTCAGAGAACTAACTTCAAAATTACTCTTACATCGCATTTCCACAGGGTTGCTGACAGGGTAAAAGTTGTTGAAATTAATTTGTTAAACCACCCTCTTCAGATATAACTGAATTAAGTATATACTCTTAATTTATTAATACAATAAAATAACTCACGGCAATTTTTTTATTTCCTGGAACAAACTTAATCCTCCTGGAGCTGTAGTCGACACAGCCCGCTGACTCAGTAGTGACTACGAGTTTTGCAAGGGGTGATTTAGGGTGGCGGTACAGTAAGGACAACGAGAGGGATGGTCCAGGGAGGATTTTTTTATAATTTCAATTGACGGTAAGTGATATGCCTGTCCATAACAGAGTTGCAGTGTCAGTAGAGTTAATAGGGTATAGGGCTAGCCTTTTCGGCAAGTATTGTGTACTTTTTTAAAAGTCAAAGTCAAAGTCAAAGATTATTTATTCCATAGGTAAAATAAATTTACACTTGAAATCGTCACATTTAAGCTACTGCTCGTTCACTACGCTGACCTCTCTGAGAAGAACGAGCAAGAAACTCTAGGGATTGCTCGTTTCAAATAAACTTAAATGCTATGGAATACACTTTCAATCAAATTTATGTGGATTCTGGAGCCATGTCGTCTTTCCATACATCTTTATCTAACACGTAGTCTTCAATTTTGTAATATGATTTTTCGATCAAAATATTTTTAATGTAGTTTTTAAACTTAGGAAATTATAAACTTAAATATGCTCCGGAATCTTATTGTAAAAACGTATACAGTTCCCCATAAAAGAGTTGTTTACCTTGGTTAAACGAAATCGTGGTACCATGTGTTTGGACTTAGCTCTAAGGTTAATATTATGGATATCTTCTTTCTTATTGAAATTATGTATATTTTTACGAGCATATAAAATATTTGAGTAAATGTACTGTGATGCCACACTCATGATACCAGTCTCCTTAAACTTTTCTCTGAGAGAAATCCGAGAGCCTAGACGGTACACAGAACGAATCGCTCGTTTTTGCAATACAAGTATGGAATATCTGCCGCTTTACCCCATATGAGATAAAATAGCTGTAGCTGATAAAATTAAAATAGCTGTAGCTGCTCGAGTTCGAGAACTCGAGTAGCAGCAATCGGCTAAGAGTAAAAGCAATCTCCATGCACCTGTCTCTGAAGTTGCAAAACCACAGAGGCAGATGGACCAACGCGACCAGGACGGCTTCACAAAGTTGGTAAAAAGGAAGATGAAGCCCATCAGTAGTAACCTGCGTGCTGATTTTGATTCAAAACGGAATCGATCCGGACTGGTAGTCTCGAAATCAGATGGATTTCTGAGCGAGAAGATGAACCTGATTCCTACTATATCTTTCTAATTTGTGAGTTAAATCAACTGTTCTTCCGATTAGAAATATCAAAAGATTCCGTTCGTCCAATTGTGAATCGCAATTATGCGCCTCGACTCGGAAGAGATGCAGTTTCCGATCGGGAGAGGCAATCAAAATCTGCTGTGTGGCACTTTGGCAACTTTCTGCTGCGTCCGGCCATTCCGATGACGTTGCTGTACCTGTCGCGACTATCTTATTCCGCGAAATCTGAGGAGTTTGGCCTGATGGACTCCAGTCCATCAGGCCAAATCCAAATACAACCTGAGGGTCGAGCGGTTAGAGTCGGTGGACATCGTGAATTTTAATTCGTTTGTAGTGAGAATACAGACCGACTCTGTCGATCTTCATAAAGAAGGAATTTTGGCCGAAGAGTGTAATATATCGGTAGTACGTGTGGCGCGCTATAAGTTTCCGGAATGAATAAGAAAAAAATACTATAAATGGTCAGAAATAAATTTATTGTTTCTCAAAATATTCTCCGTTAGCGTTAATGCACTTTTTCGTTCGAATGTACCAATATTGAAAACATTTATGCCAATCCTCCGTGACAATCTCTGAAACATACTTTTCATACTCTTCGACAGCTTCTTCAGGTGATGAAAATCGTTGACCGCGTAACTGGTTCTTAATTTTTGGAAACAAATAAAAGTCGCAAGGTGCCAGGTGGAGACATACACGGGATGGCTCATAACGTCAACGTAGTTCACCTTCAAAAATTCATTTGTGTCTGGTCGTGTGACAACTGGCATCATCGTGGTGCAAGATGATACGGCGTTTACGGTTATTTTTACGAAGTTTGTCAATAGCTTCCGGCAAACAAATGGTCGTGTACCAATCACTATTCACGGTACAACG